CGTTCATACACCTACGTTACATTTCAGTACACAACTAAAAGATTTGGTTGATCTGTAATAGTGACTTTGTTAAGATAGCTAAAGTTATTAACATTCCCAAATAATTTATTTTTCTCTTTGCTGATTCCTTACTGCCACAGAATCTGCCACAACAACAAAATATAACTGCAAAAATGAAATTCTCTATAGAAAAATCTCCTGTTTCCTAACAGGTATTGAGAATAACTATATAGAAATAGCAAATCTTCTCACTAATGGTCTAGTTTGCTTATGAAGACCATATAGAGGCATCAGTAATGAATAAAAAAATGTTAGAAACATTGTAGTAACTTTAAAACTGTGTCTGAGTAAAAACAGATGTCACTGAGTTGGTACTGTAGGTGGAATTATTTATTTAAAGTACAGATACCTACAGTCAATGATGGACCCTTTTCACACAATGTCTCTCCCCATGTCCCCGGAGAAGTCCATTTTCAGCTTTTTCTCAGTCAAGTGAATAAAATGTGTCATTACTCAACACCCTCCCTCACACTCGTTTCCTCTCTCTCCCTCTCTGACGGCCACACCCTCCTTTCTTTTACTATACCAGCGCTGGCCGCTGACAAGCCATTTGTCAGAACAACATTTTTATTACTATTACTCGATCACATTATTCTCCAATTATAACTTCTGTACTTGTGACATTTGCACAGCCATTTATCCCTCAGCTTGAAATTAGCTGTTAACAAATCACCAGGCTCATAAAACTGCCTAACAGGGTTGATATGACTGAGCTTATGGCCTTTTATGGAGCACTGCGATAAAAGTGGATATATATTTTTTATTTTTGCTCCCCAGAGAGATATTGTGAATGTTTGATTGGATTCAGAAATAAATTTTCCCTTAATCTGTTGCTAAAGTTACCAGGCTACGTTGTTATATAACCTTGATTCTGGCAGACTAGAGTGACATTGGTGAAGTCTGAGAGCTTAACCTGAACTTTTTTTTTAAAGTCTGCCTCCAACCTGAGGAACAGACGAGCCCTCAGGTCAAACACTCAGACACACAGACAGACACAAAAAGTATTCCTTAGTGAATTCCAATGGGCCGAGCCAGACCAGAATCCAGAGTATGCATTGATTTTTTTTTCATCCTTAGTTTTATCTCATGTGTTTCTCTTTGGCTTCTCACTTCTGCCTTCCCATCTTATTTTAAACACATGTGAATCATTCTCTAATACCCAGGGGCTAATCAAAAAGGTATAAGACCGGCTTCAGCTATGAAATGCAAATGCATCTAGCTGAACTACTCCATCTTTAGTCGCTTCTCCTTCCTTGGGTCAAAGGTTACCAAACTCTTGCAATGACCAAATAAATAAATTTGATGCAGAGGAATTGCTCTGGGAACAATGCTCTGGAACAAGAAATATGGTGTACATTATGTAACCTTAAATCACTATTGCCACATCACTTAAATTGAGATTAAAAATATAATATCACAGACTTTAATTACTTTACTTTAATTATTATAAGTAAATTCACATACTGGTTGATGGTGGGAGAGTAGGGAGAAGGGGGCAGGGGTGCCACAAAAGTGCCCTCTAGGATGCCCCTGGTGGATAGAACATAATGAAGTGCTCTTTAGGGTGTCCTTCCAGTGGACAAAACACAATAAAGTGCTGCTGCCCTTTTTGTTTTTACACCTGCTCTTCAATCAAGTCCAACACTGCCTTCACATATCTGCCATTACTGGACCATTGCTGTAATAAAGGTGTTTTCTTTACCTTCTCTTTATCAGTTGCCTGTGATGAATTGTAGGGAGACTGGTGTGTATGAATGGTATACCTGAATTATGTTTTTTTAATTTTTAAGAATTATTTTTATCATTAAATACAAAAACAACAAGTGGTTTTATTATTTTGCAGGAGATTGGGACTTGCTATAGTTTCTTAGATAGCTGGCAGAAAATATTTGGCATAATCTACAGTACATTTGCAAATGATGGCTCCAGTATTGTTTAAACAATTAATTTGATATCAGCAAGTTCCTTCAGAATTGAACAGCCCTTGAATTTAATGAGAGCACACACAGAGTACCATTACTTAATCTTAAAGACCTACCTGGTATTTTCATTTCTTTCTGGCGTTTTAGAAAATGTCAAAATCGTTATAGCTCATTCTGGAGCAGTTTTACCTTTAAATAAATTTGACTTCATGGCATGAATCCAAAGCCAAATCACATCATTGTTGTCTCCCTCTTCAGGTCCTGTGGACAAATTGGACACATAACATTTTCCATGTCCTTTTCAACATTATAATTCCAAATTAATTTAGATGAAAATAACATGTAGTCTGAATCTCTCAATTTCTCTTTCCAAGAAGTGCTCTTAATTGCTTTGCTGCCAAGACCATGAATGATACAAATTCTTCATAATCAATATATTTGGGTATGTTTTGTTTCCCTTTTTCTTCCTTTTTTAAGATTCACCTGCAAGTACATTCTGCATTGTGGGAAAAATCACTGGTTCGGAGACCAGACTGCTGCAGTTGCTTCTAGCAAACAATGACAGTTCTATATTATATATATTTAATTCTATATATCAGCCGACATAGGTGAAGTCTGTGCTTACTGGCAATGCACTTTAATGTGTGGCAAAAGTAACTGCAGGATGCTCACAGGCTCAGACTGCTCCTTCATTAAAATCTCTCATATGTGGTTAAACTTTTATTTTTACTCTTTGAGCTGAAGCAAATTATATAATTCACAGAATACCTTTCAGTAGATTCTAACATGTCTGAGTGTGCCAATTTGTTTTGTTTGGAGCACAAGATGAATTGGGACAGCAGGCTCGCCTTTGGGAGAACAATTTGTTTGCTTGTTAGTTTTAAGATCTTGTTTTATTTAGATGCACAAATCTGGCAGTGGCATGAACTCCAACTCAGTGCCTCTGGGAGGAGGGGCAGAAGCCAAGTGAAGCTCTTCCAGTCAGGCCTGCTTGGTGAGCCAATTGCACAACACACACACACAAACCAAACGAATATGTATAATTTGTTCATTTTATTACTTTGTGATTCTGCTGAAAACATTTCCATTGCATAGTCTGTCTGCTTTGTGACAAAAAGCTAAAATAGATTTTTTTCTGAGTGTGTTTGTATATTTTTGGCCTGCATTTGGCAGCTTGAATGAAGTGCATGGCACTTAAAATGTTATTCATTTAATCCTGTGAAGTCTCAGAGAAATGTGGCCCGGCCCAGCTGTAAGTGCAGATTGCAGTAATTGCTGCAAGTGTTTTGTCCCCTTGCAGTTTAAATGAAAGGTGTGTTTCACTTTAACAGCAAATAGAAAAACAAATCGCCCCTGAGAAGGCAGGCAGGTGTGTTTTGACTGCAAAAGAAGACGGAAGAGGATTGATGTTTGTGTATAATAAATAACCAGATTAAAAACCGATTGATTTGAATGAAATTAATCAAGTGATGTCCAGTCATCGCCACATTATAAATCACTGTCACATACATTTTTAACATATTCTTGATACCAAAACAGAATGAAATTACTCTGTGTTACTGTGTAATGTGAAATTCACTTTAGTGCCAAACCCATGCAGAATTAGCAGGCGTCACATACAATAGATCATACATATGATCTCATCAACTCCTCATATAAAGCTGTCCACAGCCATTTACTGCAAACAAGCACAGACAAGCCAACTGTACAATATGTGCCTGGTGAGGAGAGTTAAGTGTCTATACTGTCTGTCTGTTCTTAGAGTTGATTTTGCTAGAACATTCTCAGTTTCTCAGTAGTTACATTCATTTTGTAGATACTGTATCTATTTATGTATGAGAGTGTTTTGCTACGGAGACAGAGATACAGTTGGTGTGGAGACAATTGATCTATTAATCTATAAATAAAGTCAACTGACAATTGTATTGATTGAGTGGAAACCTGGCTGGCAAATGAAGCCAACACGGAAGTAACAGAAATGCCAAAATGCCCAACTTTAATGCAGAAATAAACATGTTTACAGCCTGGCACCACAAATGGTTTCAGTCTCTGATGACAACTGCCAGAGCCGACCGCTCTTCAGAAACCTATGGGTGACGTCACAGAGATTACGTCCATTTTTATATATACAGTCTATGACAATTGTTTTGTTATCATCTGATTTCAGCTTCTCACATGTGATAGTTAGCAACTTTTCTCACTGTTATATCATTGTAAATGAAATACATACATGTATGGGTTTCAGACATTGTGTGTAAATATTGTGTAACATTTAGGAGGATCGATTGGCAAAAATGGAATATGGTATGTTTTTATTAGTGTATAAATAAGAAAGAAAGAAGAAAATAAGAATCATTGTGTTTTTGTTACCTTAGAATGAGCTGTTTTATCTACAGAGGGAGTGGGTTACCTTCTACAAAGGCTGCCATGTTGAACTGTCATGTTTCTACTGTAGCCCAGAATGGACAAACCAAAGAGCTTTTCTTGTCTTAAGTGAGTTTTTGGACACCGTAGTCACTCCTATACACTTTCAAGGTGAGGGTGAGGTGAGGGGTATTCAGTTGGTTGCAATCTGCAACCTCACTGCTAGTTGCAGCTAAATCCTACACTTGTCCTTTAATGATCCTTCCTTGGGCTCTATGGAATTGTGAAAGTAACTACAAATTATATATGTTAAACAAATGATCAGTTAATCAAAAAAGGATTAATAGATCCTCAATCTATAATAAATAACTGCTTTAAACCCAGTTCCCTGTGGAGTGGCCTATGACAGACCCCTTGGCTCATCCTAAAGGACCCATGAAACCCTCCCCAGAACCCACTTTAGGAATCAGTGGCTTTTTGTGCACTTTGAAGAATGGTTTACATACATTGTCCTTCAGATCATACATTACATAGCCTGCACGGTGTTTCAGGTTGTGCCAACGCCCTCTGGCTGCGTACAGAGGAGTTGCAGCCTCAGAGGGTTTCAGTCCACAGCTTTTCCTCCCCGAAGCCTTTCATGTCACTAGTGCTACTTGTATGTGCAGACGCAGCCAATCTCTTCCTCATGACGCCACCGAGGCTGGGCTCAGAGGGCTTGGATCATAATATTTAACACACCCACCCTGGATGAACACTTGGAAGGAAGACAAGGCAGTGTTAAGGGGGACAAATGACAACCAGGAGGATCCCTGCACCTGCCAGCCAGTCTCTGATTTGACTTCAACGAGGCGCGTTTGCAGCAGCAGCAGCAGAAGAAGCGGGACAGCATCCGAGCATCTCAGCGGGATCACCTGTTATTTTTTATGGAATTTTCACTTTCTTCTTTTTTTAGGATCAATTCATCCTAAATACTAGGAAGACTCTGTTTTTTGTGGACTACATCAATCTCTGCTGTTACTTTTTCCCACCTAAGAAGACAGTTATGACACATTTGACATCTCACTCCGAGCTGGCAGCAACACAAGGAAGCAGATTTGAGGAAGACTATCGGTGCTTTTAACAAGATCCCCCCCTACCTTACCCCACCTCTTTCCCTCCTTCCTGTTACCTCTTCTTAACGATTTATTTAGTGGTCCGTCCTCCTGACACTGTATCCTATTCAACAAGGCAATGAATGAAGAGCACTTCTTGAGCCGCTGCCAGTAAAGTATCCAGTGTTCACAATGTGTCGATGCGTCCACCTGTCTGGGAATGAAGAATTGGCACTATTGTAAAAACAAATAATAATAATAATAATAAAGACTGAGAACATGTTGGAGTTGTTAACATAGGCTGTCGCGCATTATGTGTGCAGAGATCACAGTAAATCTTCAAACCAACATCGCTGCTTTGTCATCGTATAACACTCTTGGACGTCAATGTCGGTGCCGTGAGATGCGCTGCGCTTAAAGCTTACTCTGTGTCAAGAAGAAGAAGATAAAGAAAAAAAAGATGATATTGTTTCGTAAATTCAGAGTGTTGATACTCATGGTGTTCTTGGTAGCGTGCACCATGCACATCATGATAGACTTGTTACCGAAACTAGAGAAGCGAGCGGCGGGAGCGGACAGCGGGGACGGCGGCTGTCAGTGCGCTCACCACCCGGGCGGTGAGTCGCAGGGCTGGGGGAAGCAGCGCGCCAGGTCGGCGGCGGAAGCGGGCTGGCCTAACAAGCACACGCTGAGGATCCTGCAGGATTTCAGCAACGAGCCGAGCTCCAACCTCACTTCGCACTCACTGGAGAAGATCACGGCAGCTGGGGACAGAGCGGAGTCCTTCAGGCGGATGAGACCGTCGGCGGAGAAGGCGGACGACCACAAGCCGCTCATCGGAGACGCGAGCGGGGGTCGGACCGTCCCTGCTGCCCACGGTGTCTCCCGACTGTCCGCTCTGTTTGAGCATCCTTTATATAAGGTTGACCTTCCTTCTCTCACGGACGATGACACTTTGTTTAACGTCAACACTGACATCAGGTTTTATCCCAGAGCAACAGGGAACCAAGGATGGTAAGCTGATGGGAATTTGTTCAATTTAAAAGGGTTACAAGTGGGACAGTCAGACTGCTTTAAACATATTAGACTGTTGATGGGAAGGTTGATAGGATGCAAGCAAGGGACCAAAAGTAGGTGATGTTACATCTTTGCCACATAAAGAAATATAAGTCATTTAATATCACTGAATCAGTTGAATTCAATGCCTCTTATGCTTGCTAATGTTGCTCCAATCTGCACCCAATTCATTCTGCCCAGTGTCTGTCTATCTATCTGTCATCTTCTCTGCCTCCAGTATAATGTCCATTCATGCATCTGCTGCACCTGTCTCTCCTATTGTCATGCCATCTTACCTTTTTAGGCACGCAACTTATGAGTTAGGCTTCCATCTGGCAGGATTTTTGTAATATTCTTGGATTATATCAGTCAATAAACCTGCATCCATGTTATTAGAATAAAATCCTCTGTTCCAATTCCTTCAGCATCACTTTGTCTGATACAGCTATATTAAGAGACTGCAACAAACACTATAATCATCAATTACAAAGACTAAAAATAATCTTAACAGCAATCTGCTTGCACCAAAACTTCTTGCTAAACCTCCTCTCCCCTCTCCTAATTTTTTTCCAGGCACAATGAGGAGGGGAACGAAGAGGAGGAGGAGTTCTCTCCAACCGGAGAGGTGACGGCAGAGTCTTACCCCAACTGGTTACGTTTCCACATCGGCATCAACCGCTACGAGCTGTACTCAAGACACAGTCCTGTGCTGGACGCCCTGTTAAAGGACCTGGTCACACAGAGGGTCACCAGCGTGGGTGAGTCAGTCAGGGAGAGCTGTGTTACAAAGGTGTGTGTGTGTGTGTG